GAAGCATTGCTGCACTTCGACATAAACTGAGCGGTACGGTGGCACAGTGAGAGGGGCATGGGTTCAGTTCCACCTCGAAACAGGGCCTTTTTGTGCGGGGATTGCATGGTCTCCCCGTGTCTGCGTAGGTTTCCTCCGGGTGCTTTGGTTGCCCCTACCACAAAAAAATGTGTAATGTTCAGAGCAAATAAGTGTGTGTTTGTAAGTTCAACTGAGGGGCTGTGAATGGAGCCCAGTGTATGAGGGATGCACTGGGCTAATACACATTACCACACTGCCCCGTTCAAAATAAACACATTGATGACCATTACTTATCGCAACAACAACAATAAAGGAATCTGAAATTGGGAGATTAAAAATGACTAAATTTTCATTTAATCCAGGCTCATCTGGACAAATCCATGGACAGGGCAAACGATTAGAACCAGTTTATATACCAATGTTGTGTGAATTAGTCTGAGGTGATTAATAAACCAGATTCTGTGAACAGATATGCTGATTTTCTTTGGATCGGTCAGGTCAGCGGCAAATTGGTTTTCCTCAGACTGCACAGTCACAAAAGTCTTTGCTCTCACATCTGTTGGAGCTTCTCCCGTTTCCTGTCTCTCAGTGGTGAACTGGTGGGCTGTGGTCAGGGCTGTCGCTCTCCGTGGTGCTGAATCGTCCTTATATATGATAATAATAATTATGATTAATATTAGGGGCGACAGTAGCTCAGTTGGTAGAGCATTGGCCTTAAGGCCAGAAGGTCGTGGGTTCAATTCCCACCTCTGCACCTTCTCCATCAACTCCCACTGATGACTGCTGTCGTTGTGTCCTTGGGCAAGACACTTAACCCCACTTTGCCCAAAGCCCCCACTGAAAGATCAAGGCTATGCTCACACTCAGAGAGCAGCCGTCCTCCTGTGGACTCACCACCTGCAGAGGGTCAGTGAGGGGCTGGTGCTATGAGACTTGGGTGGCATCTCTGACTGCCACCCCCCTGACCCAGAAATGGATTAAAGGGTAGAAAATGGATGGATGGATGATTAATATTATTATAATGTAATATTTGATGGTAGACATTTCTGAACAAATTTAGTCAATTCATGTTTGGACTTAACTGCAACTAGACAGAAGCTCAGTATTGCTGACTGGTCAAACTGGCAACATCTATATTTCAACTGCTCTCGACCACAATGTTAAACTATAGGCTCTCTGGAATGTGGTGATGTCACATAAACACAACCTGCAGCAGTCACTCCCAGTGTCCTCCCCCCTTCGAGGCAAAATTAGAGACCTCAGGGACCAGTGTTTTCTATAGTTATTATCAAAGTCCCCATGGGCCACAGGGGCTCAGGAAGACTCTGCAAGAAATCTCACTAGAGTCTTTTTAGGCTCACATTTAATCCATTTGCTAAATGAAGCCATGAGTCAGCTGGATTTTAATTTAAAACTTGCATTCGTTTCCTGTGATTAAGAAAAGCAGTCATCAATCAATCAGACCAGTCACTGGGCGACTCCCCAGAGGAGGAAATAAGGAGTCCTCTGTCTTCTGCTCACATTAATTTCATCAAACAACTTTCTGCTCATGCTGAATGTGCTTTTGGTTTTATATGGAGACCTGTCAGGATTTCATGTTTATGGTCAAACTTGGTGCATTTTTATTTCAAACACATTGTTACAAATCGTCTGTAGGAGGAGGCATAACCGTGGCTTTGTTTTGGTCGAATCAATGTATAAAAAAGGCATATTCACTGGCCCTGATCTGATCGATTAATGGAAAGACACAGCAGACAGTCTATAGACAGAACTTGGACTGATATTAACATTATCAGTGCCATAGCTTTCTCAGTGATGTAACTCAGTTCCATTCTAAACAACAGTAATAAGGTAATACAAATATATGACATCTTCATCCCAGTAACTAGTGATATGTCATCTATTCCAATGAGAAAGAATCTGGCCCAGCCCTGACTCTGATGCACGTTAGATTTAGCTGGAGATGCTGTACACAGGTTCCACATTGATGTGGATACAGTAAGTGTGGTGCCATGTAAACTGTCAGATACACTGTAGAAGGCACACTGAACTCACTGAGGTCATTTATTACGACACAAAGTGGAGGAAATGTACTGAGTCCACTCAAATGGAAAGACCTTAGGCCTAACAACTTTTTCTTGAGCCAAAGAAAGCGGCCTTCTAGATTCAGCCGTTGTGCTCTTCAGCACTTTTGTCTTCATCATGTTGTAGACTTGTGGCTTTGACTTTTAACTTTGACAAAGCAAGAAGACTTTAGTGTGTGAGGAAGTTGCTCATGTTGTCATTATGTTACAGTGGACCTCCTGGACCCTCCGGAGGAGCCTCATGCAGACGAGGAGGATGGTTGCCGGTGCGATACCCACTGCTTTGCTGTGTTTTTTGTTCTAAATCAAGGCAAAGGAATACTACAGAACAGACACAAACTACCAGAACAACTCTAAAATGACTCAATGACTTTATAGTATTTGAAAATGGATGAAATATTACTCTAGTGTGGCTTCCTGCGTAGTACGCCTTTCCTTGTCTTCACTCTAGAGCAGGGCTGCCAAGCTGGGGCCCGTGGGCCACATTGGACCATCAGAGGGTCTAATTTGGGGCATGAAGGGGTGGTGGCTTTAAGTGGGTTCAAGCCCCGCTCAAGACTTTCACCATCGACTCCCAATGACTACTGTCGTTGTGTCCTTGGCAAGACACTTAACCTCTGGGAACACCTGCCACAGTGGGGCGGCTGCGGCTGTAAAGTGCCAAACTGCCGTTGTGTCCTTAGGCAAGACACTTCACCCCCATTGCCTATAATGAGTCTGGTGTGTGTGTGAATGGTTGGTGGTGGTCGGAGGGGCCGATGGCACATACTGGTTGACTCGCTTCTGTCAGTGTGCCCCAGAGCAGCTGTGGCTACAGTAGTAGTTTATCACCACCGTGTATGGAGTGAATGAATAATGACATGTGAAGCGTCTTTGAGTGTCCAAAAAAGCGCTATATAAAACCGATGCATTATTATTATTAGGATGGTTTCATACTAGTCTGCTCTAATAAACCTTATAATTGCAACTTATAATTAGCCTTGGCCCTAGTCTGGCTGATATAATGTTGGCCCACAAACTTGAGGTTTGGCCACCCCTGCTCTAGTGCTTAGGAGGGTCATTAGGAGAGAAGAGCGCCATCTTCAGGTTTGGTGCTCTGATCTCTTGAGCCTTACTTAATTTGTCAAATCATTCCAATGATTCACATGAGCTCTTCTTCAGTTATTTCTTCTCCCCCTGGGAGTCTAGTTGAGGAATCAACTGTTTTAATTCAAAAAGATCAATTTTATTGATGGTAAGGCTTTTGTACAAAATGGAGGTACAATGTCCCTCCTTCACTCACCCTCCCTCCCTCTCCCACGCACACAGCTACATACACAGCACAGTACAACATTTGACTTTATGTGTTGACCACAACATGTGGCGATTTGAGTTGGTTCAGCGCCTCAGTGAGCGGGACACTGATAGTACATGAGTACATGATGTACTGTAGGATGTATTGAACTGGATGTTATGATTACATTCTATCACAGTGAATATCACAAACATTGACAAAGAGAAAGTCTGAACTAAAGTCCATGTGCCCTGTGTGAATGAGAACACTGAGCTGTCAGTGTCTTTTAAAAGGGGTGCGGATGCTGTGACTTTAGACACCTGGATGTGTGTGTGTGTGTTATTCGTTTATCATCTCTGTGTAAGGAGTGAAAGAAAAATGCCATGTGAAATTACCCTGAGTGTCCAAATATTCATCATGCCATGAGCACATAAGAAACACACTGTGACAGCTTTAACTGAACCTATGTCATCATGAAATATGTTATAAGTATGTTTCTAGATTTGTGTTCCAGTTGGATACAGGAGTCTGCTGCATCCACCATGTCCCAGTGAGTATCTTTGAAACAAGTAGTGAACTCATGAATGAAAGGCTCAGTCTTTTCCAGGATTAGGTGTGTTTTCACAGATAGTTGTGTCCCTGATGGAGCTATCCATGGTATCATCCACACTGTACTGCAGTGAAGCACCACTAGAGGGAGCCCTGATCATCACTGTACACACTGAGAGGCCATTCTTACCCCGGCAAATGACATGGACCATGAGGAACTGGTGAGTAGGACTTTTAGTTTGTGTTTTAGTGTTTTTTAATGTTTAGTTTGTGTTTGAATACAGGACAATGTGGGCAAATAGTAAGGTAATGTTGCACGAAACGTGCCAGACTTAAAACATGGTATACTTTATTGTCCCCCATAGAGACAAGTGACCTCTGTGTTTGGGCCACAGTGGTTGCCGCAGTGAATCCTCCAGAGACCCATCTCCAGATATTCCGCAGTTACCAAACAAACAGTGAATAATCCGCGGAGTGTCCTGTGGAAAATGTGTCAATCTGATTGGGATGAAGTCGGTGGCTCACAATCACCAAACTCACCGCACGCCCCACACTATTTGCATGTGTGCTTTTGGATCAAAAAGGATACCCCCCTCCCCCCATCCATCCCAAGTTTTCTTTCAACATGCCCTAGGACACCGGGTCAGCCACACGTCCATGTCCGCCCGGTGTCGTGCTCCCACCACCGGCTAGGGCCCCGGTGAGTGCAGTGAGGAGCTCGCCCGCTCCTCACGTCGCCGTGAGGGTTTTCACCAATCAAGGACTTCTCGGTCCAGAGTGCTGACCGTGGGACTCGAACCCCAGACTCCTGAACCGAGCTTTACATTGGCGGGTTGATCTACCCACGACGCCATGGTGATCAACCGTTTGAACGTGGAGCAGATGTTATATTTAAAGCTGATCTGTATTGTGGGCGGAAATAAGACGCCCTGATGCCAAACGTCAATATATTTTTATCTTTTGACCAGAGAGAGAATGTATGATGCATTCACTGACCACTTCAATTGGGCTAAACTAAAACCCTTCATTTTTATATTTGTCATTTCGGCGTCTCTGACGTGCGGCTCGTTGTCATGGAGACGCAGAGTGTATGCAAACTGTTGTTGGAGCGATCCCACTAACTCATCTGTGTTTAAGGCCAAAGCTGTGGTAAATGCACTGAGCGCCAGGCCACTGTCGTTGACACTACTTTGTTGACACTTTTCCACTTCTCAAACCTGCTGTAAACAAACACGTTTTGAAGCATGGCTCGCCCCCTCCTCGCCCAGGAGGTGCAGGAGTAGCATAGACCACTGAATGATTTAATATGGATCTCTCAAAAGGACAGAGACATGACCCTGTCAGCTTTGACAGCTCAGGAAAAGACAATTACATGTCATCATATTAGACACGAGTTCTTATAAAGTCACAGTATATGAGCACAAACACACAGATTAATTGATAGATAGATCGGTGGCTAGAACTTTATGCTCCCCTGAGGGAAATTCCTTTTCAAAGACACTGTCACATATATAGAAAAGAGAGGACGGAGCTTACAATACACACAAGATGCACAAAATACTCAGAAAGAAATACATATAATACACATATGCAATACAGGAACAACATGGTTGAGAATACAGAACAGAACCCGAATGAGTTATAAAAGCAGAGGTCAGGGGGTGTGGCCTTACACATGTCATTTAGTCCCTTACAATAACATCGACATATATGTTGCTTCAGTAGCATAACTTCATATTTAAAGGACATTCACTGAATGTGTCTGTTTTTCTTTTAGTGAGGTGGATCTTCTGAATGTGGACAGAGCTTGGCAGGAAGAGGCTGACACATGTGTCCTCACTGTGATTTGTGGGTCAGGGGTCCCCCAGGATGTACTTTTGGGTTCTCCTCGGAAACAATTTGCAGACCTACACACAGTGACCAGCTGTCCTCTGGATACACAGACACCACAGTGTCCAGACCAGGAGACCTCTGGACAAACAGACTTTAAGAACACCAAATTCAGGTATAATTGAAGAATCTTTAATTGCTTTAAAAAAAAACATAATTTAATGTATCGGTTTTTCTTCCAGTGAGATGGGTTTGGAGACACACACCTCCACTCCCAGTGTGGGCCAGGTGACCTTTGGGACCAGGAGTGTTGTCCACTAAAACCATTCTTAAATGATGTCTTGTCAATTGTCCTCTGTCTTTCAGGGTCAGCGTTCCCCGAACTCAGAGAGTTATAGTAATTCCAGAGTGTTCTGGGTCATTGAGGCGTCAATGGCAAACCTTCTGTTGCACTGACCACCAGATCCCGCTTCAAGTCACACCTGCTCTGGACACTGTCCTGCCTGTTTTCAATGACGTAAATGAAAACTCTTAATACTTACCTGTCTCATTTCTGCTGTGGTTTTTACGTTCAAAAAGCAAACATTTACGGCAGAAGAGTAAATGCTCCTATGAAGCTTGTAAATCACTCCAGAGTGGGATCATTTAAGTCTATCTTGCACAAAACAGAAAATGTGTACGCTTTCTATCACGTTAAGTTTGTGATCTCCAAATATATATTTATATATATGACGTGCGGCGTACAAACTTCAGAGCATGCATATGTATGTACTCCTCAGAGACACGTCTTCAAAACAGTATAAGAACCTTTGAAACTGTTGGATGCACTAGTCTCTGATGTCCTGTATCTGTGAACACAAATCCACATACAGAGGAAAACAAGTACATTTGAATCCTGTATCAGAAATGTAAGAAGCTCAAATCATTTTAGCCTTTAATTAATTGACCTTTGAAACATGCAAGACAATAAAAAGAAGGTTCAGCACAACAGACGAGTGCCTGATATGACACTGTGACTTTATGTCTATGATCTCGATGGCGACTATGGCAGAGGGCCACATGACATGACACAGGGGCCTGCATTAGACCCATGGGCTTTCAAGGTTCAAGGTGACTTTGACCGTGGGTAGATTATTTTTGCAGTTAAAAAGAGAGAAATGGCATCTATACAAAAGATATTTATAAAATCACATTTATAAATACACAATTAACAACACAACAGACAAGTAACAAAAAAGGGACAAAGGATCAAAGTCAGGACTCTATCTAAGGCATGAGTGTATGTGTTTATAACAGGGCCCTTGTAGAGCCCACTCCACCCTCCTCCTCCACATGTTCACTTCCCCGACCTGCGGAGCTCTATCGGACGATTGCCAAAGACACATTTTTGATAAAAGCTAATGTTTGTTTTTTCCACTTTGAAGAATATTTGTTTTCAAACGACACATTATTCAACATTTTGTTTATTTGACTGTTATTATTTTCATTCCATTACCATCATCAATTCCACATTTTGCAAAGTTTCCATGAATGAATAGACTTAATAAATATTGCATATATGGCCCATGGATCTCTGGGAGGTACTTTTTATCTGCCGTTACTTTTTACATTCCATTGTTGAACTTCTCATTGAATGGAGCATGTTACTGTTTTCCAGGTTAGTGGCTTTATGCTGGTTCATGTACGTTTATTTCACTTCCATGTTTGTTCTGAGTCTGCACTTGACCCGACTCTAATGTGTGTGTGTGTGGTCCATGGTGTTGTGACCTCACTGTTTGACTGGAGAAAAGAAATATACATCATGGGGAAAAAAACACATTGTTTTATTTTATTGTAATAATGCATCTACATTTTTCAGTTTAATCTACACATATTTCTTAAAATACTGCATTTCCAGGAACTCTTACTATAGTGTGTACAAACTTCTCAACTACTTTCAAAATAATGTACAGCCAAAAGAACAAAATAATGTAAACAGAATTAACAAAGGCCATGTTATAAGTTATACAATTCAAATATTTGTCGTACAAATATTCTAAGCATTATGAGACACAGAATGCTTAAATGTATCTATAAAAAGGAGATATACAGTGCCTTGTGAAAGTGTTACTCCAGCTTGAACCTTTGCACATTTATTCATGTTACGACCACAAATGTTAGGATGAAGAGATCCTTTATTCTTCCCACAGAGGGGAATTTCAGTGTTGCATCGTCGGTTACAGAACAGTAGGAATGAGGAGCACACAACACAAGAAATGAACAATGACTCTATACTAAAATAAATCTTTAGCATAATAAGGAAGCAAATCCATCCAATGATTTTGTTATGGATCTTTTACAGAAACGACAGCTGTACAGTGACAGAACAAATAAGCATTATCTCCTTGTATCAAAATATGTGTAACCGAGGGAGAGCCTAATTGAGCCGTGATTTATTGTACACAGGTAAGGGTGCAGTGAATAGTTAAACAGAGACACATACCATGACCGTTTTGAAAGATTTATTTTTAATTTACTAAAAGGGAAAAAAAAACACGTTAATAGAAATGTATGAAAAGATTATGTTTATTGGGGGCTATGTTAAAATTCCAGTTCTAACAAATAGCAGTGGTAAACTTGAACAAATGCTTTTAAGAGTGGCCAGGACTAGACGGCCGCGGGTGCACGCGGTCAGAGGGCAAATATGTAAATGGCACAGAGTACACACTACACACCGTGCAGTCACACACACACACACACACACAAACGCTAAACCAAATCTAGGATAACTAAAACATGCAGTGAGGGTGAGTGCGAAAAATACCACAGCACACGAGGGGAGTGATGGTGCAGCAGTGTGAGACTCTATCACCAAACCTCCACCAGGCAGGCACCCACGCTCGAACCAGTCCTGGATCACAGGGAGAACAGTGTCAAATCGTACCGTACACCGGTCTTGGTAAATACCCAAAAAAAAAGAGAGAATCAACTCAAAATCAAATGTAAGGGGTACAGACTCGTCCCGGCGGTACCTGACTAAATAACCCTATCATTAGACCCAAATAAAACCGACATGTAGCCTGCTGACTCTAGAGCTTAAAACAGTCTGAGCTGGCAGAACAAGATGCCCTCCCAGGCTGACGCACCCCGGACAGGTTAACGGGGTCACTTGATGGCGTCCGGCCTACAGCTTCTAGCTGTGAGAGAAACGGGACCGGAGCGGATAAAGTTGGTGATCGAGAGGGCAGCCTACCCGTGCATCGCGTCTAGCCTGCTTAAATATGCTAGGAAATAACTAGGGACTGCGGAAGTGCGGGTTGCCGGCTACGAATTACGTAATACGGTGGCCCAATTGGGACAAACAACCAACGGTTACATTCCACCCCGGGGTTCTTTAGATTGGCGCCCCGACAATCTAATATGTGCTGCTGGACCCCTGCATGAGAGATGCTGTAGCCCCACCCCTCAACTCCACTGGTAGGTGGTGTGGATTTGGGTGCTGCCCAGCTGTAGTCCGTTTGGTCCTTCTTAGGGGAGGAGGGGCTTGTTGGTTTGGGATGGTGTCAACAGGGTTTTCGCGGACTGTCCCAGTCTGAAACTGGGGAGGGACAAGTGGTACTATGGTTTGGTCCCTGCCTGGTGCCTCTACCAACCAAAAGCCACCGGCGTTCCTCTCTGGACTGCGAGGTCTCCAGGAAGCCCTAGCTTCGGGGGGAGAAGACACCTGGGAAGGTACAGGTTTTATCATATTGCGATGAACATTTCGTACCTCCGCTAGCCTTCCTTTGGGAGCAACTGTATACACTGCCCCCCCTGGCTCTGGAGGTACCACCACTACAAAAACCTCAGGTGACCATGCGTCCTGCATCTTGGTCCGCCCCCGATGTGAATGGTTTCGCAAGTACACACACTGTCCGACTGGTAATAATTGTTCTTCTGCCTGTACATCAGCCCTTTCCTTTCTCCTCATTGCCGCCAACCTCATGTGTTCCCTGGCGCTCTCTGCGACCACCTGAAGTCGGCGTTGGTGCTCCCGTATCCAACGGCTGGTCTCACCAAATGTGGGCTCTGTCACACGCCCCAACACAAAATCCACTGGCAGCACCGGTTCTCTGCCGAACATGAGAAGGTGCGGGGAATGTCCAGTTGATTGGTGGGGCGTCGTGTTGTAACTAAATACAAGTTGAGGTAGGTACTGAGGCCAGTGGTGCTTTTGGTCTACTGAAAGCGTGCGAAGAAGGTCGTGCAGTGTTCTGTTAAACCGCTCACACTGGCCGTTACCTTGGGGATGGTAGGGCGTCATCCGAGACTTTTTGGCGCCATACAGGTCACAAAGCTGGTAGATTACGGCGCTCTCGAAACTACGACCCTGATCGGAGTGTATCCTTGCAGGGACCCCATATCTGTAGAACCAGTCTCTTATCAGCACCTCCGCAACGGTGGAAGCTCTTTGATCCCGGGTGGGCACGACCTGTGTAAACTTTGAGAAAACATCAGTCATTACTAACACTTGCTCTCTGCCATCTGTGGCAGGCTCCAACAAAGAAAAGTCCATTGCAAGAATCTCATTAGGTTTTGAGGCCATGAGGTGGCCCATGGGGGCCCGTACCTGGGGTGCAGTCCTTTTAGCCAGAGAGCAACGCTCGCAACATTTACACCAATCGCGGATGACTGCCCTCATATGGGGCCAGTAGCAGCGCTGTCGTATGAGCTCTGTGGTGCGTTCGATACCCTGATGTCCATGGTGAGTATGTAGGTGCTCAAAAACCTCTCTCCATAGGCATTCCGGCAGCACGATTTGACCCACTTCCTCACCCCCATCTGGCCTCTGATAATTTCGAAACAACAAGCCATCTTTGATGCGTAATCTCTCCCACTGACGGAGCAATTCTCTTGCTGGCGGGCCCATCGTTTGCTTCTCAACTCGGCCCGGCATTCGCTGCTGCTGTAGATAACGACTTACGGAAGAAATCACTGGGTCCGCTTGCTGCAACAACAACAGGTCATCAGAGGAACGTTCGGGCAAAACTGCAATAGCAGCTTGTGTAGCCGCCCGTATGGGTCTCACTGCTGCATTTACAGCTGCTGGAATCTGGGTACCAGGGCGAGGGTGTGACATCACCCCAGCTGGACGTAGCCTGGACAGAGCGTCTGCATTCTGATTATTGCGGCCAGGGCGGTATTTCACTACATAATCAAAATACCGAAAGTTCCGACACCCAGCGCTGCTCAGTTGCACCCAGTTTGGAGGTCCCTAAATGGCTAAGGGGGTTATTATCTGTCCACACCACACACTTATTGCCCAGGAGATACTCACGGAACTTTTCTGACATAGCCCACTTCATTCCTAGAAATTCCAGCTTCATTGAGCTGTAGTTCCTCTCAGCAGGGAGCAAACTACGGCTGGCATAAGCAATGGGTCGGACTCTGCCATCTTGCTCTTGGGACAAAACCCCTCCTAGTCCCTCATGGCTAGCATCAATCTCTAAAACAAAGGGCAAGTCAAAATTTGCATATGCGAGCACGGGGGAGGACACTAACCTTGCCTTGAGTTCTAGGAAGCTAGAGTCACATTGCGGGGTCCAGGCTTCTTGTAGAGAAACCCCCCGCCCACGTCTGTTCTTCTTCCCTGCTAGCTGGGCGACTACTCTGTGTAAGGGTGCAGCAAGTTTGGAAAAACCCTCTACAAACCGCCTATAGTAGCTCGCCAAATCCCAGGAATGACCTCAAGTCAGACACTGTGCTCGGGAGGGGCCATTCAGCAACAGCGGAGATTTTCTTGGGGTCCGTAGCCACTCCTGCGGCTGACACAATGTGCCCCAGGTAGCCCACCTGCTTCTGAAAGAAACTGCACTTGTTAAGCTTCACCTTGAGGGCCTCTGTTCCAAAACGGCCGAGGACGAGGTCTAATCTGTCGAGATGCTCCTCCACTGCAGATGAGAAAACAATTACATCGTCTAGGTACAGCAAGAGTGAGCGACAGTTTTGATCCCCAAGTATCCGCTCCATGAGCCGCTGGAATGTACTAGGGGCGTTACACAGTCCGAATGGCATCCTTTGGAATTCAAATAGGCCGAAAGGCGTGCAGAAAGCGGTTTTCATCCTGTCTCCTTCTGTCACAGCAACTTGGTGATATCCACTAGCCAGATCAATAGTGGAAAACCACTGTGCCCCTGAGAGGGAGTCAAGGGATTCCTCGATCCTAGGGAGTGGGAAAGCGTCCCTCCGAGTTTTGCTGTTCAATAGCCTATAGTCGACACAGTCTCAAACTGCCATCCTTCTTCCGGACAATGACTATTGGAGAGGCGTAGGGGCTACAGCTTTCTCGAATGACTTGGCTGTCCAGCAGCTTGCGTATATGGGCTCTGACTTCCTCATATTCTGATGGAGGGATACGCCTATATCGCTGTCTGATTGGTACGTCATCTACAAGAGGAATATCATGAGTTATTAATGAGGTACAACCTAGGTCTAGATCAGACGCTGCAAATACTGCTTCATGTTTTAGGAGCAGCGCACGAACCTTCTGTTGATCAGGCTCGGACAGCGAGGAAAGGTCCAATGAATCAATTTGCTCCCTACAGAACTAGGCCTTGTGGTTTGAGAGTTTACCCTAACTCCCTCCCCCTGCGCTTGCTGCCTATTAAACGAGACACCCTCTGGTAGGCTAACCACCTCTGCCTGGCTAAGCACAGCGACAGGGTGATGAGGATACAAGGCAACCCCACTCTGACCCACATTAACAATAGGGATGTGTACAGTACCTTTCTGACTGTGACCATGGCTGGGGAGACCAACAAGCCCTCAGGAAGGGGGTAGCTCTCAGTCAATGGCTCGGCCAAAACAGTACCTGTGGACTGGCTGAAATGAGCAGAGCAAGTTGCAGCAATCCATTTCATTGACCTCCTGGAATTATGACAGGGCGCCTACCTCTCACACGTGCAAGGCCGTTCCTAGGTGAATCACACAGCTCTGTCTGATGGCAGTGACGTAAGGCCTGCTGCCATGCTACTGAAGCCTGCTGTACCTCAGGGAGATTAAACAGGTCAACACCCATGTTCACCAAACAACTGGTGGTAGCACTCCTTTATCACGTTCATTCCTAGCACTCCCCTAACCCCATGTGGCCCTGGAGGATCTTTAACAACCAGAATTCCCCGCTTGGGCACGATTTGCCCACATACAGACACATCCAATTGAACAAAACCCACATATGGAATATCATAACCATTTGCCGCAGTTAGCTCTAACCAGTTACAAGGACTAGGGGTGCCTTTGAAATGCTTATCAAAAAAACTCTCTGGTATTGTGGTGACCATGGACCCGGTATCCACGAGTAGCTTAGCAGTTACCCCCCCCAAACTGACTGTTACCTCTGGGCATGGAGCAATGAGGCTCTCTGCCATGTGGTGGGGGTCTGGTTTGGAAGACTGTGAGCCCTCATCTTCCCCTCCTGATGCTTGGCTCCTCGCATCAGGGGGTTTTAGTTTCCCGCCTCCTGCATGTCAGAGGTTGCAGCGGCCACCTGTGACAACCGGCTCTGGATGATAACCCTCTCATTATCACATTCTCTGGCTATATGGCCCGGTTTTTGACAGCGAAGGCAAATCACTGTGCGAGACCTAACATTTCCTGCTGCGGGTTGGGAGCCCCCCTGCAATGCTAATAGACCCTGGGTTAATTTATCCAACTGCTCCTGCTGCTTTACTAGGAGTTGCCGTAGTTCTGCCAACTCCGAATGTGATGTTAGACTAGGAGGGCGAGGGCGGGAATAGTGAACTGCACTCAGTGATGGGACCGAATAGCTCCTCCCCCTGGGTTCATCCGGCCTACCCTCACGTTCCCAACGTATGGCCTCAGCCCTGATCTCTATAAGAGTGCACTGTGGGAGTTCTCTTGCTAACCTCTTTAACTCCCTGCGCAGGTGGGGGTCTAACACATGCTCGACAAACTGATCTCTTAAGAGGATAGGGGCATCCGGCATTTTTCTAGGGGCACTGCGCTCGACCTTCTCCATCAGACAGCATAATGCATGTGAGAACTCCTGCAAAGACTCTCCTTCCTGTTGTTTCCTGGAAAAAAAAACACTGTTGCAAGGAAACATAAGAACGAGCACAACCATACAATTCCTGCAAAATTGACAGAATTTTCTCAGGGTCCTCCCGCTCTGCTCTCGTCCTGTAGCGAACTTCATCCTTCGCCTCACCCTCCAAATGATCAACAATAAAGTAGGCTTGATCTACTGAGTTTAGGCGCCTTGTCCTCAATGTGGCCCTCATCTCGTCCACCCCAATCTTCAATTGGTATGCCTGATGTCCCCCTAAAGGGCAGACACCTGCGCTCCCTAGGAATATAAAACAAACGTTCCACAGGTGCAGAGTCATTAACACTTGAAGGGCTCGTCGAACCAGAGCTCCCAGCATTGGTTGCAGCTGCCTGTAGTCGCCATTCTCAGCCCGGAGCTGCTGGACCAAATCTCTGAGCTCCTGCTCATTAGCCATGGAGGTAATGTACAAGGGTGCAGTATAGACTTTGTAGAGCAGAGGGCCGGTCCAGTCGTAGGAGAATGTGCTGGTTCTTCCAAGGCAATGTCGTCTCATTTGGGTCTAATGAATAATATAAATCTATAAACTCAGTTTTCCATCACTGCAACCCTGCCGAGCAAGCCAGATTGTAACCGAGGGAGAGCATAATTGAGGTCCGTGAATTTATTGTACACAGGTAAGGGTGCAGTGAATAGTTAAACAGAGACACATACCATGACCGTTTTGAAAGATTTATTTTTAATTTACTAAAAGGGAAAAAAAAACACGTTAATAGAAATGTATGAAAAGATTATGTTTATTGGGGGCTATGTTAAAATTCCAGTTCTAATAAATAGCAGTGGTAAACTTGAACAAATGCTTTTAAGAGTGGCCAGGAACTAGACGGCCGCGGGTGCACGCGGTCAGAGGGCAAATATGTAAATGGCACAGAGTACACACTACACACCGTGCAGTCACACACACACACACACACACAAAACGCTAAACCAAATCTAGGATAACTAAAACATGCAGTGAGGGTGAGTGCGAAAAATACCACAGCACCACGAGGGGAGTGATGGGCAGCAGTGTGAGACTCTATCACCAAACCTCCACCAGGCAGGCACCCACGCTCGAACCAGTCCTGGATCACAGGGAGAACAGTGTCAAATCGTACCGTACACCGGTCTTGGTAAATACCCAAAAAAAAAGAGAGAATCAACTCAAATCAAATGTAAGGGGTACAGACTCGTCCCGGCGGTACCTGACTAAATAACCCTATCATTAGACCCAATAAAACCGACATGTAGCCTGCTGACTCTAGAGCTTAAAACAGTCTGAGCTGGCAGAACAAGATGCCCTCCCAGGCTGACGCACACCCGGACAGGTTAACGGGGTCACTTGATGGCGTCCGGACCTACAGCTTCTAGCTGTGAGAGAAACGGGGACCGGAGCGGATAAAGTTGGTGATCGAGAGGGCAGCCTACCCGTGCATCGCGGTCTAGCCTGCTTAATCTATGCTAGGAAATAAATAGGGAATGCGGAAGTGCGGGTTGCCGGCTACGAATTACGTAATACGGTGCCCCAATTTGGACAAACAACCAACGGTTACATATGAAACATGGGCTTTGCATAATAACAGTTGTTCTATTCTTACTAACGACTTGTCACCAGAACATGACCAGAAAATGGAAGACCACCTGATCCTGTTTACTGCTTCTCTGATCCAGCGAGCACGTTCGATTTACTCTGTTGCTGTATCTTATATAGTTTATTTCTATGTGATTATCTTCATGAAATAATCTTTTATTTTTTAAACTTGTGTTTCATTGCTGCATTGCTCACTCACTCCCTGGGCGGAGGCACAGGCTCGGGTATGGGCACTCTGCTCATCAGAAAGATCCGCGAAGAATACCCTGACCGCATCATGAACACGTTCAGCGTGGTGCCTTCTCCCAAAGTGTCGGACACGGTGGTGGAGCCGTACAACGCCACTCTGTCAATGCGCCAGCTGGTGGAGAACACAGACACGACCTACTGCATCGACAACGAGGCTCTGTTCAACATCTGCTTCCGGACGCGGAAGCTGACCAGGCCCACGTACGGCGACCTGAACCACCTGGTGTCGACCACCATGAGCGGAGTGACCACCTGCCTGCGCTTCCCTGGCCAGCTGAACGCGGACCTGCGCAAGCTAGCGGTGAACATGGTGCCCTTCCCGCGGCTTCACTTCTTCGTGCCCGGCTTCGCTCCTCTGACCTGCAGGGGGAGCCAGCAGTACAGGGCCCTGACGGTCCGCGAGCTGATGCAGCAGATGTTCAACTCCAAGAACATGATGGCGGCGTGCGACCCGCGTCACGGGCGCTACTTGGCGGTGGCGGCCATCTTCAGAGGGCGCATGTCCATAAACGAGGTGGACGAACAGATGCCGAACCTTCAGAACAAAAAGAGCAGCAACTTTGTGGAGTGTATCCCCAACAACGTGAAGACGGCGGTGTGCAACATTCCTTCTCGAGGTCTGAATATGTCGGCCACCTTCATCGGAAACAACACGGCCATCCAGGAACTGTTCAAACCATCTCAGAACAGTTCACCGCCATGTTCCGCAGAAAGGCTTTCCTCCACTGGTACACGGGGGAAGGGATGGACGAGATGGAATTCACCGAAGCGGAGAGCAACATGAACGACCTGGTGTCCGAGTACCAGCAGTACGAAGATGCTACTGCTGAGGAGGAGGGAGAGTTTGATGAGGAGGGGGAGGAGGAGCTGGCCTGAAGAGGGAGGAGGAGAAGAGAGAAGGAGGAGGAGCTGGTGCGAGGAGGTTGAGTTCTGGACTTTTTGTTCTGTTGTCTGTTCCTGGATTGTTTTGATCACTTGTTCCATTCCTTTGACTTTTGTTAAAGTCGTTGGATATGATGTATTAGATTTTTGTGATGCAATTACTCGTTTGTTTAAACTGAATATTGTCTTAGTGGTTCTTTCTTGCCTCCTGAGTGGAGATGTTTTATTTATGTATTAGCGATCCTAAATTCTTGTTTTGGTCACGGTTTGCAGAAAACCTGCATTACACTCAAACATCGAATCGCGACCTCTGGTGCAGTTATGTTCTGATCACTGCTCGCCTGGTGAGGACGGAGCTCATTTTTGTCAGTTTTTGAACGTCAAATGTTAAAATATACTGCTATTTTAATGTTCCCTTAATAAAAAGTTGGATTTTCTGTCAAACTAAAAAGCCAGCTAATTGGAGTTTTCAGTGATCACTTATGGACATTGGTATGTGTTTGTTTTACAGTTGCAGTCCTGTTTTCCCTTGGTGTCCAGGGAGGCAGTGCCAACAGTTTGGGTTAATGAGAACAACCATCAGGTCATCAAATTTGAAAACCATGATAGACGCAACAGTTATGCAATTGAGTGTATGTTAACAAGGACAAGTATTACGTGGGGTCCTTGTTTGTTTGGGAAAAAGTCCATGCACCCCAGCTTTTAAAAATCATGTAAATAAAAAATCCTGACTACTGTCTCATTAGTTAAAATTACATTGTGTTCAGGTCTGAATAGGCTGGCCCTTAAAATTCCGGCCAATTATTTCCCATACCATGTGCTTTGGTACAAAATTAAATCGCCTTATATGGTAAGACCTGGCACTAAGTGAAATGCAGCTGTACTCAAAATTATCAACACATAAATGTCCGTATAATCATCAAGCAATTCTTACAGAAGGAAGCTCCAAAATCTTATCCAAAAATTCATCAAAGTGCCCATGACTCACCATGGCCCCCCGGCTAATTGAGGGCGTGGTCCTCTTTTTTTTTAAATTCACTTTTCCAGTCTGAAAAAAGCTGAGAGCTTTAAAGATCTGAAAGACGCCTGATCAATGCATGTACATAGAATTACTATTGTCTAGAAAGCAAAGTCGAAACCAGAGGCAGATTACCAGAGGGCTAGTTGGACCAGAAGAGGAACCATAGGTTCACAGGGGGAGCTCTTGGCTCTTGGAGAAGATACTTCGTGGATAGGGGCCTTCAGCAGCTCCTGTTCACCGAGATGTCTAGCAAATCTGCACGCTCCTGCCTCAGCGATCGCTCTAAGGCCGGTGCGCTGTGCGGCAGCAAAGGTAGCTGTGCTCTGTGTTCAGCAGCAGATGAGATTCTGTCGTGATGAGTTGTTTAGGCCCTTAAAGGATGTCTAGGGTCTCTCACTCTGGTCTCTACTCTAGCCTCTCTACTCTTGGTACTCCCCACTGATGTCCTTTTCAAAAACTGCTCAGGGCAGGAAAAGTTGCAATGACACAACAAATTTGAAAAACTAAGTATTTAAACAACTACGGGAGGGGTGAAGAGGATGGAGGTAAGTACTCACTAAACTCCAGGCAGAGAATGTTTTTTTTCTCTTAAGGGACATTTGTCAATATCCTGTTATTTGATATTTGTGTTATGACAGACACGTTCTGACAACCCAGTGAAATACAGTTACAATATAATGTGATATACCTTTATCACAGTTAACCTAGTGATGTTTGGTACATGTGTTTGTCTACATTCTCACGCCTCCTCTGCAGTGTCTGCTGGAGCTCTAGAAGGAGGCGTTGAGTCCTGTCCTCAAAGCTGGAGACATGTCCACAGTTTGTTTTCGAGCGTTTGAAGGATCTTCCTTGTCTGTGCAAGTCTCTGAGCTGTTGGGTTCTCTGCTGAAGGCGCTGTAGCGTCCAGGAACAAGACAGGTACAAGACTAGGTTTACTACTGCTACTGCCATAACTGCTGTTACTACTGCTGCTGCTGCTGTACATGTCGCATGAGACCGTGGACACATATTGCACCAGAAGTCTTCATTGTACATTCTGACAGCTCATGGCCACGGTAGATCAGTCTGTCGCTGACGTGCTTGATACTCACTACCATTGCTAGCGTTACAGCTGATAAGTTCCCAATAGGAGTGGGAAGTGGCCAAAATATGTTCGATAGTAAGCAATAGTTTGGCCACAATTCAATAGTATTTTTAACATTGTGCGATACACCAAGATTTTGCCAACCTAATGGAATTTCATGGTCCTGGTCCTCAGCCCAGAGAACTGCTTCTGGAGCTGCTCTGGTGGAGGTGATGGAGTGCTGCTGGGAGGCTTCACCAGAGGAGGAGGCGGCTTCCTCAGAGCCTCAGGAGACATGATCAAAGGAACCAGAGACCGTGAACAGAGACGTGCGGCACGGCATCGCCCTGGTGACTACACTCACTCACACTTAACACACACCTCCACACTCGCACTAAACCACACTTCCTGCTCATTTGAGTTTTAAAGTTCAACATGATGCTGGTCAACCTGACTATTATAGTAGTAGTTACTTGCCTCTAATTGGTGTTTGGTTGCTTTGAGGTTGCTATGAGCGAATGTAGCTCTAGACTCCTGCTGTCTAAAGCAGCACTAATCCTCCTATTGTTCCAGACGTGCACCAGCCTGGTCTCCTCTCTGGGCTCCTCGTGGCTGGAGCAGACCTTCGCTCAGTTCTTGGCTCTCCTCTGGCGTGGTGTCTCACTCTCGGCGCTCCAGACCCTGCGGAGGCGGGGCTGACACGGGGGTGTGTGTCCATGGTGCTTAGGGCCAGTCTGGGGGGGGTCCTGGGGGAGAAAGCCAGAGCAGTGCAGTCCAGCGAGTTGTGTGTCACTGTGGGAGCTCACAGGACGATCATAGGTGAGAAGTATCAAGAGCATGTTCCATGTCTTCTCTGGCTCTCTCTCTCGGTCTCTTCTGATCTCTCTCTGGTCTCTCTCTCTGGTCTCTCTCTCTGGTATTTCTCACAGGGAGTTACAGGTGGAGAACATGATTACCTTCATTCTTGTTTTGATATAGATGGGATGGGGCAAAAAAAATTAGTATTTATATAGCACCACAATTGTGCAAGTTGTCCGACCTATAAATGATGGAGACAGGCCTGTAATTTCCACAATGGGTAAATCTCAACTAATCTCACCAACCATCCAGAAAATCAATGATTACTTGTAAATAATTTATTGCAAATTATGGTAGACAAAGCATTTGGTCACCTACAAACAAGCACAAATGGGGCCATGTATCATATATAACAAGGGCATTGAGATGAAACGTGGCTGGGTCTTTCAGCATGACAACCAATCAATCAATCACGTTTTATTTGTAAGAGCAAGGCAACGCAAAGCGCTCTCAACCTATATTACATCATGCAAAAAATCATCAAACATTAGACTCTACATAAACATTAAACACATTAAGAGCCCAAGATATTTTGAAAATTAAAAGAATCAATGATTCCAAATGACAATGATCCCATACACACCGCCCGGGCAACGAAGGAGTGGCTTTGTTAGAAGCATTTCAAGGTCCTGGAGAGGCCTAGCCAGTCTCCAGATCTCATATCAAATCTTTGGAGGGAGTTGAAAGTCGTGTTACCCTGCAACAGCCCCAATACATCACTGTTCTAGAGAGATCTGCATGGGGGAATGGGCCAAAATACGCAAACAGTGTGTGAAAACCTTGTGAAGACTAGGTTTCACCTTTGTTGTCATTACCAACAAAGGGTTTATAACAAAGTATTGAGATTATTTTTTTTTATTGACCAAATACTTATTTTCCACTAAATTGGCAAAAAAATTAATTTTCAGTTTTTTTTCTCTTCTTCTGTCTCTCGTGTCAGGTATACCGATGATGAAAATAACAGGCTTCTCTCATCTTTTTACGTGGGATTACGACCAATTGGTGGCTGACTACATACTTTTTTTTCTATTGAAAGTATTATAAAACAATCTTTGTCCTTATGTGATGATCATTTGTGTTATTTTGATATTTGATTGTGAGTTTGATTATGAGGTGTCATGTTGTTCCAGAGTCTTCAGTGTGTGTGACGCTTGCAGCCAGAGGTCTACAAGCTGCTCAGACCTGTGCTCCACTCAGCCCGCTCTGGTCTGTTTGCTGCTGGAGCTTGGGTCTCTTCTCCTGGGGTTAGGGTCCACGCGGGGCCCTGTGACGGACCAGTCCACAGGTACACCCTCACCGCAGCAAGACCCAAATATATAATGGTCCGCTTTGAGTTGGTTGGTGTTCGTGAACAGTTCAATGCAACAAGCTTGCCAGGTCTTGCCTTACCAATAACAAGTGCTTGCGCTGCGTTGCCGTGGTGAAACCGTTACGCTTTCTTTCGCTTTCAAAAGTCTGTGGCAATAAAAATGGTCTTTCCAGCTAAATGTCTTGTAAATTGTAAATAGGGTAAAATGGATTGTGTAAAGTAACAAACCAGTAGGTAAAACTATTAAAAATAACCAATTTTTTCTTTTAACTTAAACATTCAATTCCAAGGGCTGCCTTAAAAATGTTGATTCCAAACAATTAGAATTGTATAGTGTAATCAAGTTATTTGCCTGTGTTTATTCCACTTATGTAATTAATTTGTAGTACTTGATAATACGAATCAATTCAATTGCTTTATTTCAGTTGAGTAGAATAAGGGAAAGTCGTTGACTCAACTTTCTCAAGCTTGCTCAGTTAACAACGTTCCCTTATTCTACTCAACTGAAATAAAGCCATTGAATTGATTCATATTATCAAGTACTATGAATTAATTACATAAGTTTAATAAACACAGGCAAATAACTTGATTACACTATACAATTCTAATTGTTTGGAATCAACATTTTAAGGCAGCCCTTGGAATTGAATTTTTAAATTGAAGGGGCTATTGCAGTTTACAGTATCCTATATAGTCCATAGGCTGTATAGTCATAGTTCCCCTGGGGCCAAAATTAGTTAATCTAAAACACCCACTTTGCTTTTGAGTTTGTGTAGCAATACAAAGGGTCGGGATGGCAACTAAAACCCCAGATTTGGGAAAATAGTGCAAATCTGCAAAGGTCTGTCCTGAAGAAATGTCTTTTAAAACAAGTTTGTGTCTGTTGTGGCAGATGGGGCTAAAGCACCCGATTCAGGTACTTAAGTACATAAAGAAATACTCTGGTAAAAGTATTGCGATCATTCCCTTACTTTTGTAAAAGTTTGGCTGGGGTGCCTCACTTTCATATTCAAGATTCAAGATTAATTTATTATGTCCCGTAGGAAATTTGTCTTGGACTCACAGGCTGCTACATTGAAATATCTCTAATGAAAATTGAAATATCTCTAATGAAATATGTAATGAATCCATCTAAAAAAAAAAAAATGCTTCTATCACTACTTGTCATGTGCATGTATTTTCGGCCTCTATCCCATTTTTGGATCAGCTTTTTCATACAGAAAAGTGAAAAAGAGAGGACCATTAAACTCTCAGCCAAAGAGTCAAATAGTGACTTACAGTGCTCTTTCTTCCACAAAAGATACAATTTCTAATCAGATGAAGATAGGAACTTTATGGTCTGATTTGTTTTCGTTGGGACGTGTACAAAGAAGTAAGGGCACCCCAGCTTTAAATACCTCTTGTTGTGTTCAGCAGGTGGCAGCATTGTTCCACAGATGCTTGTAGTGAAGTGGGTTCCTATAAATTCTAGAAACAGTCTGTCCGTTTGTGCACATGGAAAATTGAACTTGAACTTTAACTACATCTCATCCACTCTAGGACAAGACTAGATTCAGAGCTGGTAGATGATCGAGATTACATTTATTTTTATCACACAATTAAAACAAGCTCGACACTCGACATTGAACAACATTTATAGACTTTGGTCATCTGCCCCTTTTTGTACAAATCTCTGTATCATTGCATTTCCTGTGTTTGAACGGTTTGATTCTCTGACCGGTGTTGGAAAATCAACGGCTTTATAAAAACTACCGGTGTGATTTAGGGCTATACAATAATAAATGTAATATTTTGAACCTTTTTTTTTTAAACTCGGACCAAAATGTTGTGGTCAGATTTCTTTACAAAATGTTACTTTTTAAACAACTCTTTCTGTAAAAGTAAAAAAAAAAAAAAAAAACCTACATGTATAGTCTATGAGAAACATCAAGTTAGGTACCCCAGCTTTAACAGCAATAAGTGGCAAAATGTTCAGAGCTACAATCCCCTTGGTCTAGATGTGAAGGTCAGACGTTGTGAGAGCGTCATCTTTGTGAGACCAACCTTCATGGGCCATGTCACAGTATGTGTGGATCTATGCCTCTGTCTAAACACCATGATGAGAGAAGGGGCCTCTAACTGCTCCCTCTAAACTGCTACTTACAATGTGGACTTCTCTTCCCACAGCCCAAGGTGAAGTGTTGCTCTGAAGAACTTTCTTGGCCCAGAAACATATGATGTGACTCTGGAGAATCAAAACGGTCAGCGGGAATCCTTATGGAAACAGCTACAGTGACCACACATGGAGCGGCAGTCACAGGCATGATGTGGACGTGGGCCAGGTGAGGTCGCTCTCCTGTGTTTTGGTGAAGAGAACATTCACTTCCCACTGTCAGCGCCTCGTACAAAAAGGGAACTCCATAGTCAGAAGGGGCTTTGCAGATATTTTTCTTAGAAGTGCAAATTTGTTTGCCCCATTCCAAAATGTGTTTCCCTCCACTGCCCCAGGAATAGATAGTGCAAATACCTGTTCCAACATAGAAGTTTCCAGTTGGTAATGGTGAAGGGAAACTCTTAATTAACTTTCCTTAGGGATTCCTCAGGTTTGTGTACGAAGAGCGCCATCCCTGACCTGGTTTGTTTGTCTGTGGCATTGAGAAATGCACTGTTTGCTGTTCACATGGCTGACTTCTAGGCAGACTATAACTGTTTCTCTAAACCTTCCAGCAATAAACATTGACTTTCTTTTTTTCATCCTCACCGAAAGGTCTCATTGTGTCCAAATGTACGCTCACCGTTTCAAACATTGAAACCCCAACAAGTGCATTTTCTCAGTGCCATCATAACAATGTTTATTTAGCCTCACATAAGCACATGTTGTGCTTTCAAAAGGGTAAATATATGCCGCCACTTTAGCTTTGTTTTTGTATCATGTGACCTTGTTTTCCCTTCTTCAACAGCGCTGATGCACTGCATCCCTTATGCCCATCTTCATCCTAGTAATTAAGCGTACATAAATACCTCACTGGCATACATTTTGCTCAAAAGTTTACACACCGAGGCAGATGTGTAGATGTTTGGGCCAAATTACATTATCATTGAGATTGTGAAATACAGTGCTTCCATGTGTGCCACTTGTTAGAGGTGCTTGGAGACTTATCTCCCTCCAGGAGTTTCTCTGTTCATCTGTTTGGCTGTGAGTGTAATGGGTGGATTTGGATAAAATTTCCAGAAAGTGCTTAGTATTCACAATGTGAACAACTGAGTTAATGGAGGTGATTCTTGTCACTATCTGGATGCAGCGGACATCTGCACTCTTCTCTATCCTCTCTGATGGTAATGCACATTCTTCTTGGCAAAAAGCCTCCAGTTCTTGTTCATTCCTGGGCTGACTTGCATGAACTGCACATTTGAGATCCCCAAGAGGACCTTAATTATATTATAATTTGAAAAACAATGAGTGGAAGAATAGGTTTTATGTTTTCATTCATAATCTCCAAAACAATCTCTGGATGAGTGAGTAAACCTTCAAACACAACAGTACAACGTTCATGTAGGTCGCCTTTTCCTGTTCATGCCCAAGAAAAAAGGGAAATCCAACATGTTACAAGTCACTATAAAACTAGTCTGCCGTGTAAATACTGCTTTAATATTATTGCAGTTAAAATGCTATTGCTCATGTCTCCTTTGGGAATTCAGTTCACAGATCAAAATTCAGAATGAAAAGTTGACGATGCTGCAAAAGTCCAAAAACAAGATGCATATTGATTTAAAGCTGAAATATCTAATTGTTTTAGTTTTATGAATACATGTTTGCTCCAACAGGAAAAGTCTAGTCTTAAGTAACATCTTGTGAACAAATCAGACCACAACATGATGTTTTTATCTTCTCATAAACTGTACTGAGAGCTGATTGGCTGAGTGACGGTGGTCCTCTCTTTTTCACTCTTCTGTCTGAAAAACCTGATCTAAAGATGATGTATGAGTTTTGAGAGCCAGGAACAAGTTAGTAGGATTTTACAATGTTAATATGTTGTGGTTTCAAAGTCAGATATTCCAGCTTTAACAGTAACTATAGCTACAACCCCTGCGGCTGTAAAATAAACTCATTTCAAGTACAAATACAAAGTACATAATATTGCATAATTGTAAATATCTGTATCTGTATATGAGCTCCAGATTATGAAAGACAGCTGTTTGAAATGTCCATTCATTCCATAAAATATGGGATATTTCTTTTGTCATTTCACTGTATTTTATTTGTTAAAGGCTGGAGACAGTGAGCTCTAGAGGCCACAGCGAGGTCACTCCGCGGGCACATGGGGCAGAAGGCGCTCAGGCCCCTGGGTGATGAAGGTAGCTGCTGAAGAGGCCTGCTCCTTACTCCTGGAACACAGAGATGACAACATAACTGCTAAAGCACACTACTGCAGCCACAGTTGCCCTGGGACACAGTGACAGAAGCGAGGCAACCAGTATGTCCCATCGGACCCACCAATCACCACAAACCATTCACACACACACCAGACGCATTCTAGGCAATGTGGGTGAAGTGCATTGCCTGAGGACACAACCACAGTTTGGCACTTTACAGCCGCAGCCGCCCCACTGTGGCACCTGGTGTTCCCAGAGGTCTCCCATCACAGTACTAACCAGGCCCCCGCAGTGCTGCCTCAAATATGCATGACGTAGGCCAGTATAAAAGACTTTCTGACACAAATGATATGACGGGTTTGAGAATTGAATTAAAATCAATTCGCAAAACAATCTTGCAAAACTTCTGGTCATTTTTTTGTCAACATTTCTTGTTTATTCTTTCCCATAGCCTTGTACTGCCACATGAGAACATACACAAATACATGCACAGATAGATACAAACGCACACACATATATACAGTACATACATATACACATACTTACATGCATACGTACAGTAAATGCATACATAGACACACACACACACACACATACATACAGTACATGCACGCATAAATACATACATACATATATACACACTAGTACATCCTTTCAGAGTCTTACCCGGCAGCATCACTCTCCCTGACATTGATCTTCTCTTGGGGAGCAGACAAAACCAAATGATGGCTGCTTTTTCTATCAGAGAAATTCAGAGTTGCATTAGACACAAACCAGGTAGTAAAAGTCATGTTTATCACACTAGTGTCATGTGCCGGGGGCCTGCTGTCGCGCTGATCAGGGTAACTCTGGGTCAGCACATACAGCAGTTCCAGGCAGCTATCTGTCTTGAGTTGTCAAACGTTCTGCTGAAGTAGAAGGTGCCAGACCACTGCTAACATGAATACATCTTGTGTCTGCCATTGGCGTATTCCAATTCCTGCTCACTCCTTTTTGAAAATCATGTTACCAGCTGCTCGGTGACCACAAGCGTTCAAAGAATAAAGTCCACCCCAGGGCACGTGAAGAAGCCAATTGCCTGAAAGCAAATGGACGTGACCAGATGTTTGTTTCCAAGCACACGACTCTGTGGCGGAGCCTATTTTTACTATTGTGCCCAGACTCTTTCTTCATTCTTTTTAAGCAGCTGGATGGAAAAGAAAATTGGTTAAAGCCTAACTGATGTTTTATGGTATCCTCTTCTCGGATAAAATGTCTGTTTAAAACATTAAAAGAGGGAGGAGTCAGCAGAGGTTCAGCAGGAGCTCCTCGGTGGCATCACAACGTTTGGTTTATAAATGATCTCAAACTGGTTCACACAACATTGAAGAGTGAAGTCATGGGGCTCAAGTAAACTGCTGCTAACCTTTCGCCCTGTCCATTCATCTTTGCAAAAAGGTTCCTCAAAACCTGCTCTTTCTGCTCCCAAGTAAGATCCGAGATGTGTATATTACTGCCAGGCTGGTGCACCCTAAAACACACAAAAACATTGAAGAGGTTATTGTGAGAAAAAAACACATTTGCTCATGTGATATCACAACATTCTAGCGCAAATAGTTTAGAATTGTGGTGAAGGGCAGGTGAAAAACCGTTCCAGGAAACTATGGTGACTTCTAATTGAGTTTGGAGCTGTTTTTTTCTGTATTTCCAGGTCAAATATTTATACACATAACAAACAAGAACTACACATCTTCTTCGTCCAAACACATCAAACATTGTCTAATTATATTTGTGTGGCTGATACTCCGAAACATGTGTAAGACTTTCAGACACAATAATATGGCAGGTTTGTGAATCTAATGAAATAATGATCAAATTGGTGTCTTTCTCGTAAAGTCATAATGGCACTTTCCCTCAAATCACTGACCAAAGAACAGTAAAAACTTCAATTCATTCTTTGATATTTCTCCCTCTAACATTACTCTCTGAAGTTCATGCTTGAATATGATACGATTATGTTGATTTGAGCATAAAACAATTGCATTTGAAACAAGCTCAAAAGAAGTAAATATAAAGCAATTTGGAAAACTACTAGAATACACTTCTTTCTATAAATTACTAGAGATAGAGAGATAATAATAATAATAATGCATGGGTTTTATACAGCGCTTTTCAGGACACACTGTGCCCAGCCCCTGCACAGCTTCAGAGGCCTGACAGGATCTGGCTTTCACATGCAAGTCTGGGCAGATATATATACATAAATAGTTAGATAGAGAGATAGGTACAGTATGGAGAGATAGAGAGAATTGGAGAGACATGGAGAATTAAATAGATAGATAGATACATACATAATTAGAGAGAGAGAGAAATGTTTTGTTTTTTCTTCTAAAATGATCACTGTTATCATTTCTCATGTTGTACAATTCCATAAAGAGTTGAACAGTCAGGATTCTGGACTGACCTGACGTTCTGTATGCTCTAACGCGCTAAAGGCCAGCATAAGCAGACCATGGATCTATAACAACGCAGCAGCAGACACACAGGACCCACCACTTGGCTGCAGCCTCCATGTCCCCGTACACAGAGTTGGTGCTGTGGGGACTCTTGTGGAAGTTGCGGATGGGAGGAAACTTTATGGTCCCTCTGTTGGCCTCCTTCAGGGTCCAGCGGTACACTTGTTGGGCATCCTTCTTGAACTTGGACTTGCTGACGATGACCTCCTGCTTGACCTCAGCCAGGGCCTCGTGGAAAAACCTCTCCAGCTCGGTCCTCTGCTCCACGATGACGGTGGCCAGCCTCTTGATGTGGGTCAGCTCTTTGTCCCTCATGCAGAGGACCTGGTGCAGTTTGTCCAGCTCCACCTGCCCCGCTGCAGCAGACACAGTCATCTCCTTCTGCTTCACCTCCTCTGCCTTCAGTTGGGTTTCCTTCTGCTTCAGAGCCTCCTCCAGTGACGCCACTTTCAGCTGAAGCTTGGATACTTCTTCTTGTTGAACGGAGATGTGGGCAGCGTTCTTCTTTATGATTCCCTCGTTTGTGTTCTACCGAAAATACAAAGATTGTTTCAGGCACATTCTGCAGCACAATGTGATTATTCACTTGAGCCGACAGAATTCATCACGATCATCACTTTTTATTACAAAAAAGCTTCAATCACAATTTCATTGCTTTGATCATTTGGATTAACCTTGCCTGCAAGCTGTATTCTCGCGGTATTTGTGAGTTCACAAACACGCGGAGAACGCGTTAGAGTTCTACACAATCATCAATCTGGCTCTTGCCAGGTTACATTTGGATACGTATAGCACTAAATCACAACAGTAGTTATCTCGTACCGAAACCGTTGCATTTGCCAACAAATTCATGATTTTATAAAATGAGGATTTGCAGAAAAATTGTTTGATCAATGTGAGGATTTACTTTCATTTTGTGCAATCAAAAAGCTGTGGGGGTGACTGTACAAACTCTGTATAGAGTAGTCATGCGTGAATTACACATGACTACTACACATTGTGTTTGTGAATATCAATATCCACTATATTAAATTACATTAAAGCATAGGGCAAAAACCTAAAAGCTAAATCGAGAAACTGGCAACCCAAATTTACCACCACCCCGTACTTGAGTAAATGGATAATGCCATTTAAAGTATAATTGACTGTCCATAAAAGTGCTATTAAACAGTTCCATAATAATAATTATAATAATGAATATAATGATGATTATTATTTAAATGAATTACCCGGAGATCCACAGTGTCTCTCCAGCTGAATGATTTCAGCCTCATGAGAGTGAGACTAATTTGTTGAAAGAGTTTGTTATTAGAGGAAATCACTGACAGAAATATGTGAGGTAGAAGCCATTGATTTTGAAGCCATAGCTACATGAGTGGAAACTGACCACAGCCACAGACTCTGAGCCGGCGGCCGACACCAGGGACCACAAGTCAAATACACAAGTTCTGCTCAAAGTAAACAAACAAGGGAAAATAACGGATGTCATTTTCTCGACAAATTCAACATGTCATTTATAGATGAATGGGCCGTGAATAGTTTGGGAGAGGCTTCTGAGGTGTTTCCAGCTTCTTACCTTGTCCATAACCAGAGAGTTGTTCTGCGCAGACAGAGATCGGATCTGTTTCTGGAGCTCCTCTGTTTCCTTCATGTGAAGCTTTAGAGCTTCATTCAAACGCACGTTCTCTCTGAAGACGGACCGTGACGCATCGTCCAGCTGTCTGAGGAGTTGACAGAATAAATATACATCATGAAAGGAAGTCTTTTGTATAAGCAACAAAGACAACGACACGAAACCTTCAGTTGGTAATCTACATTTATACTAAACCAACTCAGTTTGTGGGTTTAGTTTAATCAATTACTGACATGTGCGACCAAAGCAAACAGGACCACACCAGCATCAATGTAATGTAACTAAACACAGCACAGGAAAAACGTTGATCTTTCGGCCTCAAAAGTAATAAACTTCCTCCGTGTGGGAGTTTCCGAGACGAGAGGCGTGTGATCATTGGCGACAGAGATGTGCGCTATCATAAACATGACAAAACAGTGTGGTTGAGAAAGTAGCATAAGAGGTTATATATACGTATGTACATATACTGGACATGTAAAAGGGTCAATTATCCTGTGTGTGTGTGTGTGTGTGTGTGTGTGTGCTTCCTACAGGTGCAGACTAAGCACTCACACAACAGCCTCACTGTGGGCCCGCTGCACCACCAGAGCGATGGTTGTCTCTGCTTCCTTCTCCAATCGAGCCTGTAGAAAAATATTCAGCTCAGTGTTGTGGACATGCTCCTGCTTCCTGTCATTTCACAGCTTACCTTTTCTTTAAAGAAACCATACTCCACTTTGTTGAGCTCTTCTTTGTGTTTCTTTTCAGCTTCTTCCATGTTCTCTCGAATCTTAAAATCATAAAAAAACAACTTGCAAAATGGCCGTTCCAAAAATGGTTATTAAATCTGAACAACTTACGTCAGCAACTTCCTGCTCCATCTGTGCCTTCTGGATCTCAAACGCTTGGATTCTTCTCATCCCCTCTTCGATCATGTTGAAGTCCTGTGATCGTTTTTTGAACAATGCCTTCATCTCATTCAGTTGTTGTGTGTATTCTGAAATCTGAAATGCACCAAACCAGCTTTTTATGCCTTTTATGACTTTTTTTCATCCTGTAAAGCAGTGGTTCCCAAAGTGGGGACCACTGCTTTATGATGGGGGTCGCGGGCTAAAAACTTTGGGAACCCCTGCTGTAAAGAAACAAAACTACTTTGTTTGAGTCAAACTTTAAACTGTTCTGGGCTATATTCTGGGCTAATGTGAGCTGGTATATCACCAATCTGATACCTGATCCAAAAAGTCAACAATATTGAATTTGATTTCCGATACTTTTGTATGGGTGCATCCCGGGTCAGATGCCGTGACTGCTATCATTCTCACACATGCACCCCAGACTCATACCAGTGTCTCAAGGACACTACAGTTTGGCACTTTACAACTTCTGCATTGTGGCACCTGCTGCTCCCAGAAAGTGGTCTCCCATCATAGTACAATAAAGAGCCTGTTCTGCTTAGCTTCTGTTCTGTGGTCTGAGGGATCAAGCTTTCACATGTAGTTGGCGCCACAAATAAAAAAAAAGATCTTGTAAATATACAATTATAATAGATGCCACTTGGTATAACGTAAGAGACCTACTGGATGAATAAGCTGCACCTAAACTAAAGAGACAAGGATTTGATCTCCTGAAATAAGCTTTATGTTTATTTCATAAAAGCCAATAATAAGCCCATAAGTGGTTTCACACAGGATGACAATATTCCTGTCTGTTCGGGACAGTGCCAGAAAGTGCGAGAGCTGTTTTATGTTGCTCCAGGCCAAGTGGAAGCTTATTAGACTCATTTAGCTGCATTAAACCAATGCCTGAGATGGAAAACATCTGTCGGAGAGCTAAGCACTCGTGCCTCATAAGCCACTTCCATGTGCCCGCCTGGTTGATTGCTTGGTCCTCTCTAAGCAGCAGTGGAGAGTGAAGATGAAAAGGGACACATATTGTTTGTTGGATGTTGTGGAACTGTTCTCTGGTGGACAAGAGATGTATGGTCAACACGCAGGGCCAAAGAGACGCCAAACCAAACCAAGCACTTTTTCTCAGGCCAGTGTAACGTGACTCTGCTCTTTCCTTAAACGGTAACATAATTACACACAAGAAAGCTGTTAAGACAAAGCAATGCACAATATGATCCATAAAAAGTCCCACGTGCATTCTGCCTGGTTCAATATGGCACTGAGGAGAAGCCCACTGTGGGTTAGATTCTCAGCTACTTTTCCCTTATTGTTGCCATTCCTACTTTGTTGTGATGACCGAGCGCTGTAATTGATAATATTATTCACTCACCAGCTGGTTCTCACGCTCACGTGCTTGTGCCGCCTGATTTTGAATAGTTTCGTGCAGAGAATGAATCTACAAGCAGAATCAGAAGGTTTAGTCTGTCAGTAGTATAGTCATAGTAGCATAGTATAGTATAACGTTTGAAAGGACACCTAGGAACCTTATCGTCCTTGGATGCATCTTGCTTGTTGAAAAACCAGGTGGTCTCCAGACTGTCCTTCTCCACGCAATACAGGTCGGTGGTCAGCTCTTCGTTTGCTCGGGCCAGCTTCCTGCAGGACTCACGGTACTGTGTGAGGGACTGCTCGGTCACCTGCAGCCTCAGCTCCCACAGGGCGGCGTTGCTGCGGGCCTTCTCCATGTCCGACTCACGATCCACTTTGCCCTCCTGCTTGCCATCCTTTTTCCCTTTGCTGGAGAAACACACACACACACACACACACACATACAATATTAGATTTGAGTAGGAGTATGAGTTGGGGAGAATCAGCACCTATTAACTAATGCAATGTAAAGCACTTCAGAAAAAAAAGTCCTGAGTTTAATTCCACCTCCAGACAGGGCCTTTCTGTGTGGAGTTTGCATGTTCTCCCTGTGTCTGTGCAGGTCTGCCCTACCACTAAAACTATGTACAAAAGGTCTGGCATGTGGCTCCTGCATGGCAACCCGCTCCCAACCCTGTGTGGAGTGAAAGGAAAAATGCCCACAACAATCGTAAAGTGCTTTGTGAATGTGGTCTGTGAAAGGCGCTATATAAATAAAACTTACTTACTTATAGTGAGTCTTTAAATAAAGTTTAAAGAGTCACTTTTAGGTCTGCTCCAGTGCAAACAGAACATTCTGTTTGTACTAGAATGTATTGTATTGTATTATATTGTATTTAATTGTATTTTCTGGATGTGTTTTTAATGTGTTTAAATATCTAATTTCAACTTGTGAGTCAATTCCTATAAATAAAGGTTACTTACTCACTTACAAACATAGCAGTAAAACCTAGGTAGCCCAAGTTGTAATTTAGCATAATATAGTAACACTGTTGTCATGGTGAAACAAAGAACAACACAGAATGGGACTTACCCGGCTTTTGCTTTTTTCGTTTTGATGGCTTTCTTTTTCGGCATAGTTCTGTTTACCTGGTGCGTGGATTACACCTGTCAATGCATACAATAAAAACCCAACTCAGTAAGAAGAGCACAGGCACTGCGAGCTAGCATGAAGCTAACATGAAGCTAGCGCCGATGTCCCGTTTTGTTTACGGTTGCCATGGGGATGGGCCGAGCGGTCTCAAGTTCCAGCAGGGATCAAATATCAACAACGACAACAGTAAATTCTGTCAAAAATATTGAAGAAACAATAAACCACGTTTTGGAGTTGCTCATGTACTCAAACATGTGGGAGTATGTGAGCAACACACACCAAATACATGCATTTTACTGTGTGTTGAATTTGATTTTGAAATTGGCAGAATTTTATATCCACTGGTCTAACAATTCATCATATTAAAGCTTCATTATTACCCTCATTGCTCCAAGTCCATACTGCATTGTTTGTGTGTAAAATATGTCACAATTAATGTTTGTTTGCAATATAATGTGTCTTTTTGAGTTTTACTTCCTGTACTGTTGATTGCCTGCCTCGCCCTGATGTGTCTTCCAGTTAAATTCCCTGCGCTCTCTCCCTCTTGTTGTCAGTCCGAGTCCATTGTGTGTTTGTTCATCAGTTCTTGTCTTCCTCCTCAGTTCCTGTACTTTACATTCAATTGAGATTTGTTTTAGAACTTTTGTGAATTTAAACATATTATTTTTAGCTGTATTGAAACTTCTTTTTTAAACGTGACAATAGTGCTGTATTCATGTGCGTATTTAAGTTTAACATATCATTTATTTGCTTTTTCTTATCTTTTTTGGAAATGTTAAAGTATT